CACCCACTCACTTATTCCTCACCCATCCACCCACTCACCACTCACTCCTCACCCACCCGCTCACCCACTCACCACTCACCCACTCACCACTCACCCACCCACCCACTCACTCCTCACCCACACACCCACGCACCACCCACTCCTCACCCACACACCCACGCACCCACCCACTCACCACTCACTCCTCACCCACCCACTCACCCACTCACCCACTCACCCACCCACCCACTCACTCCTCACCCACACACCCACGCACCACCCACTCCTCACCCACACACCCACGCACCCACCCACTCACCACTCACTCCTCACCCACCCACCACTCACCCACTCACCCACTCACTCCTCACCCACACACCCACGCACCACCCACTCCTCACCCACACACCCACGCACCACCCACTCCTCACCCACACACCCACGCACCCACCCACTCACCACTCACTCCTCACCCACCCACTCACCCACTCACCACTCACCCACTCACCCACCCACCCACTCACTCCTCACCCACACACCCACGCACCCACCCACTCCTCACCCACACACCCACGCACCCACCCACTCACCCACTCCCTCCTCACCCACACACCCACTCACTCACTCCTCACCCACTCACCCACCCACTCCTCACCCAGAGCAACTTCCAGCCCCACCAGCTCCACTCATGGTACATGCCCTAGACAGGTGGACCACTTTTTTAACACTTAGATACACAAGTCCTTACCACTGTGTTACAACTGCGGACGGTGCTCAGCCCTGTGCCGTGCTGAACGCGTTTGTAGCCTAGGAGCAACAGGCGCCACCGTCCAGCCTAGCTGTGCAGGTTAGAGCCTCTACGCTTCTGTAAATACACACTGTCAGGTGTTCACGGCAATGACATCACCTAATGACACCTTTTCTGGAACACGTCCCTGTCACTAAACAATGCAGAACTACAATACACAGCAGTGCTAAGCCCCGAGGCGCTCTGCCCTGCAAGGCTGGTGGGCACCTCACTCAGAGGTCAGCTCTCGCACCAAGGGGCGCAGCACCCTGGGAATCTGGGTTTTTACGCATGCACAGAAAAAACATGGACAGCATCTTAATCACACGTGTCTTTAGGAGGTGGGTTCAACTTCACTGCAGATTTCCATAATGCGTGAATTATTAAAGATAATTAATGTACATTATTCCTGAAATCAGAAAAAACTACTTAAAAAGTTTAAAAAAAAAAAGCAAAAAGCTTAGGATTAAAGAAAATATTAATAGAGAAATGTAAGAACGCCATGAATCTGCAGAGTATACTAATACACCATAAACAGTATCGTAACAGTCCCTAAAACTTCAGCGTTTCTGATACACGCTGCTCTGAGCCTTTCAAATGATTCCCACGTTTAATCCCCACAGCAGTTCTACGAGGTGGCTTTTATTCTCTCCCTCCTTTACAACAAGGAGACAGAGGCTCAGGGAGGTTAGGTCCTTGCCCTGGGGCACAGCAACAGGTGACTGTCGTAGTCCCTCTGAAGGGGTTCCTCTGACCTGGTTATGAAAGGATGAGTCCTTGGTATTACAATCATCACTTTCTTCTTAGAAATATACATTCATTTTCCACGCTCGGTCTCCATCACCTGCGCATCCCTGTCCTAAAGTTAAAATTACTCAGAATGAACCAACGTCTGACGGCCCCTGCCACACTTCGCAGCAAAGCACAAACTGACTTTGCAATAAAAATGGCTGCACAGGGATGGTCAGCTGACTTTAATGACTTGAAGAAACTTCTACATTCAGACATCTCAGAGGACGGCTTTCATTTCTGGTCGGTCACCCCATCAGTCAGCAAACTGACAGGCCTCAGGTTGAAACGTGCCGTCCATTTGGAGTAGGCACTGTAACCTTTGGCCACTGTCCCCAGGATGCAGAATATTTATTCAGAGGCCAAAAGCAGTGCTTTGTGCTTCAGTTATCTCCTAGTAACAGCTCAGAAAGACAAGGAAGGCCAGCGCGGTGGCTCACACCTGTAATCCCAGCACTTTGGGAGGCCAAGGTGGGTGGATCACCTGAGTTCGGGAGTTCGAGACCAGCCTGGTCAACACGGCAAAATCCCGTCTCTACTAAAAATACCAAAAATTAGCCAGGCACGGTGGCGGGCGACTGTAGTCCCAGCTACTCGGGAGGCTCAGGCAGGAGAATGGCTTGAACCCAGCAGGCAGAGGTTGCAGTGAGCTGAGATCGCACCACTGCACTCCAGCCTGGGCCATAAGAGCAAAACTCCATCTCAAAAACAAAACAATAAAAAGAAAGACAAGGAAAGTGAGGGTTTTTTTTTAACTTTCTAATGGAAGATTTGCTAGATTCCTTTAAAAAGATTTTCTAGAAAGCCAATCATTTCAGTAAGCTACTTTTAGAATAATACCATTTTATACGGTAGTGAATATATGAAATATAACAGATGAAATTTGTATTTGTTTTTTCCTTCAATACATATAGCCTAGCACTCTGATTCACTGCCACCATCTCACATATGAAGGCACAGGAAGATAAAGTGACTTGTCCCAAGTCACACAGCCAGCTAAGGGCTGACATGACCCTTCCCGTCTCCTCAGTCTGACGTGAGGACTCCACACTGTGCCTACCTCACTCACCCTTCAGTAACCATTCCGCTAACTAGAAAACTGATTTTGCAAATATGATTTTAACAGTGTGGCAGGAATTAACAAACTAAGTAGAATGACTCGGTTTTTTTAAATGTAAATCTATTTTTTGCTTATTATTGCTTTACCAGAAACATCAAAAAGAAGTAGACTTCTTTTGAGAGACAAGGTCTCTGTCGCCCAGGCTGGAGTAGAGTAGCATGATCACAGCTCACTGCAGCCTCAACCTCCTGGGTTCAAGTGAGCCTCCTACCTTAGCCTCCCAAGTAGCTGGGAGTACAGGCATGCGCCACTATACCCAGATAATTTTTACACTTTTTGTAGAGATGGGGTCTCACTCTATTGCCGAGGCTGGTCTCGAACTCCTGGGCTCCAGCAATCCTCCCGTTTGAGCTTCTCAAAGTGCTGGGGTTACAGGCATGAACCCCACCTGGCCAAAAGTAAACTTATTACACATTCTGTTCACATTTTGATCAGTAAACTTTTAGTGACATGTGCAGTGAGCCAGCTGTTCTTCTGGTCATCCTATGAGACTACCGTACCCTCAGTTCCTATCAGGTCAAGAAAGAAGGGTCAGTCCTGCCCACACAGTAAGCACCAATAGCCCAGGGACGCCATCATCACAGAACCAAGAACAGAGCTGCCATCTGCAGGCACCAACTGCCTGACTGACTTCCAAACATTGAGGAGAGGGCCAGTCGAGTGCCCAGGCCATCCTTATGCCTCCTGGCCCTCGAGAGGCAAGGTGTGGGTATGGGCTGTGCACAGTATCCTGGGCAGAGGCAGGAAGCAGCACAGGGCAGGCTCAGGCCAAGGGCTCAAGATTCAACACAGAACGCAGATCCCAAAAGAGCTACTCATGCTTCCCGCATTTAAGCAAGTCAAAGACCCTCAAATTACTCGAATCTTGATTTATACATAATCAGAATTATGATACAACAGCACTTTTCACTACAAAATCATCTCTGAATTTTGTAGAATTTATAGCCCTAAAAGAAATCGAAGTCCCTCACTCCAGACCCATCTCCTGAGTGCACGCTGGATGTGAAGCCCATACCAGGCACTGGGTGTCACAGTGACGGGAGGCAGCAGGAGCAGGTGGGGGAGGAGAGACCAGAGCAGCCAATGAGATGAGATCCCCCAGAGGGGCAGCTAGCGCCAGCCGGGACAGAAGAGGCACAGCTGGGCATCACCGGTGGGAAGGCCAGCGTACAGAGGCCACTTGGGGGATGTCTGTTGGGTGTGCAGGGGCAAGGTCTGGGCTAGGACCTACAGTGGTATCCACGCTACCCACAGCTGTGTGACTAGATATGTCCTCATGAAATCGAATTCGACGGATGAGACCCTGCCAGGGTCACTGTGCCTGCCAGAGCCCGGCAGCAGGAGGAAGGAACAGCAAAGCGGAGCCCGGCCCCAGACAGCAGCTAAATCCTCTTATCTGACACTGTATCCTCTGAGGGAGGGTGGGGGCATGCAACCAGGAGAAGGCGTGGGGCAGAGGGGCAGCAATGCTGCTTCCGGGGCCAGGGGTCTGCTGCGTCGGGAACTGCAAGGGCGCCTTTTGGCGGGAGCAGTTTCACTAGAGTGATGCAGATGAAGGCAGCTTTTTTTTTTCAACTTACTGAATCTGTACAGTTTTCGTTTTTCATTCAGTAGATATCAAAGAATCCACACAATAGCTGAATGGATGTAAGTCACTTCTCTGCTTCAAACCCCCAAAGAGCATCTCATCAGAAAAAATCCCACCAAAGGCGCCGTGACCTCCCGTGTTCCGCCGTGGCCTCCCTCCTAGTCCTGCAGCCCCGCCCCCCAGGCGCTGCGGCCACACTGGCCTGGCTGCTGGGCGCACCTTCCCCCCAGGCTCCTGCCTCAGAGCCTCTGCGCCTGCTGAGCCCCTGCCCCGCCGCTCACCCCGCAGCCCACAGAATCCAGCCCTGGCCTCACTCAGGCCTTGTCCCGAGAGACCCTTTGTCAGCCCTGGCTACTCACCACCCTGTTACAAAGGATTACTTCTCTCCCTGGCCTTTGCGACCTGACAGTTTCATCTATTTGTTTACTCTGTCCCCCACCCCGATTAAAATACATTTTCAAAGACATCGAGAACTTTATCTGACACTATGTCCCTTAAATCTGGAAGAGTGACACACACAGTGGAAGCAAAATATCTGTTAAACAATGGCACTCAATACATTAATTATCAGACCAGAGGATTCAAGAGCTGTTTAGAAGGAAAAGCTGCATCTGAGTATTGGTCGGTGCTGCTAAGCTGAACACCTAGGCTGAAACTCAATGATCTCAAAACGCCCTCCGTTTCCCCCGTCGTGCAAGCAGAGCCCGCCCGCGAGCAGCCCCGCCCGGTGCACTCACCGCAATCGCAGGTGGTGTAAAGTCAGATCGTCCTGCTCCAGCCATGGCCCTTTCTCGAACTTAACGTATTCAATGTCCTCTATCACCTAAGACAGGGAAAAGTCCAATTTAAACACAGAACCCCATTTTAGACATTTAAAGGAAATAACTTTTTTTTGAGACAGTCTGGCTCTATCATCCAGGCGGGAAAGCAGTGGCACAATCACAGCATACTGCAGCCTCAACCTCCAGGGCTCAAGCAATCCTCCCACCACAGCCTCCCGAGCGGCTGGGACTACAGGCACACGCCACCACACCTGGCTAATGTTTGTATTTTCAGTGGAGACAGGGTCTCGCCATGCTGCCCAGGCTGTTCTCAAACTCCTGGGCTCAGGCAATCCTACTGCCTCAGCCTCCCAAGGTGCTGGGATTACAGACATAAGCCACCATGCTGGGCCAAGAAGTAACATTTTAATACATTATAAGCTACAAATATTTGGCAGGAAGAATCACACCATGACAGTCACGATGAAAGAGAAGCTGGCCAACCTGTAATGAAATGGGGGGCTGCATGTCGCATCTCAATACAGCCTTGCCTGGCTAACACTAGGGGATCAGGAAGTAGTGCAGACACGCCCTGAGGCTGGGGAAAAAGACAGGTGAGGACAGTCAAGACTACAGGAGAAAAGACTTCAGGACAGGACAGGCCACTCCTTTCTCCCCAGGTTCAATCTAAAAGGCAAAACCTAGCCCCTCAAAATGACCAAAGAATGAGACATAAATCCATTTCTCAGAGAGACCTAATGAACTAGGTGCCCAACCCCAAGGCTGACCGTCTACAGTCTGACCTTCCAGAGGAGCCACCTTTCCATACACATTCTCTCCTCAAAACAGGCCAAACTCAGGAATCCTCTTCAGTTTTGAGAATGTGAGCAGATTCAGAAATGAACTCAAGTTAACAGTGTTAGAGACAAACGTACTACTCTTCTTCTAAGATACATGCCACCTAATATTCTCTCAAAAGTATAAAAATACTCTAAAAACAGAAACATAAGGCCAAGGAGAAATGAAATGTAATGTAATCACTCCAAGTAGAATAAACCAGGGTCTCAAAAGAACTCCTACAACTGGTGGTAGGAGAGGCTGGGCGAGAATGCAGGCCTTGCATCTGCAAGAAGAATGCTACTGTGTATGCAGAAAAGCTCAGTAACCCCCCCTCATCCTCCAGTGCTGAGAGGCAACTGAAGCGTGCTTCCACACGAGCCGCCAACTCTGCAAAGCTGCTGTCACACGGCACCACTCACACTTCAAGACCAGATCCTAAAACCCGTATTTTCTTCTAGAATTGTTACACCTTGTTTTTAGTAATTCATGCTTAATATATAAAATATAAAATATAAAATAAAAAACTTGTTTTCTAACAAACGGATGCTCAATTGCCTCGGTACCATTAGAAAAAACTTTACTTCATTTCTGTGATTATCCTTTAAGGAACTAACTTTGTGCCAAACTGAAGACATTCACACACAGCTGCACACACATTTCTGGACTCTTGTTTTGTTCCATTAAGCTCTTTATTAATTCTTGCATTAACACCATAATGCTCTCCTTATGATAATCCTAGAGTTTGTTTTTGTATGTGAGAGGGCAAATGTTCTTTCGTTATTCTTCTTCAGATGTTTTAATGTTTTTCTGGCTATTATTCATAAAGTTCTCTGAAAACTACACCAAGATTTACTAGGCTTTCATAAAATACACTAATTTAGGGAAAACTGTTATCTTTACATGTAAATCTTTCCCATTAACTAATCCAACTTTCAGTCTTCCATCTCTTTAATAAAAATGTTGGAGCAGATGACCCAAGATTCTTTGATGTCTATAATTTTCAGAACATGGAAACTGAATCACTTAAAAGAAAATCAAAACCTCATAGCCAGGGAAGTGTGATGATGGGTTTGGTTGGTACTGCTTTTAGGTGATAAAATACTGATGTTTGTTAAGATCGGTGGGAATCTAACTGATTATCTGATTTGCAAGAACCTTATACATGAATCAAATGTAGGAATGACTTTCAACTTTTCAACTATTTTCTTACCTTTACTGAATCTTCAGCTTCCCTTGCAGAATACTGTAAAATCTCACATTTTTCACTGTAAGAAAAAAACAAGATCAAACTCAATGTAGACTTCTCCAAGCCGAAGTTAAATGTGCAAACGAATACATACCACTGAAGTTTCCTGTTCAAGTATGAAAACCTCACATTCTCTGCACTGGGTGTTGTGCTGGGCATGTGAGGGCTCGTTAGAGCTTATCTGGTTGAGGAGGACATGTAAAAGCGGCCAAAATGTACTCATGGCTGGCTTGACAGAGACAACAGCAGGTCCACCACCAACTGCAGTGCCCGCAGCAGGAAAGGACTAAGCCCAGGGCCTAACCGAGCAGAGGCACAGAGGGCGTCTTTATTCCAGAGTACCCTCCACTCATTAGGATGTAAACATAGAGGGTAAATTAATACTCCGAGAATTTACAAGCTATTTATTCTGAGACTGAAATCAGCATCTGACCCCTACAGTGGTGCCAAATAAACTTCACCAACTCTGCCGACCATCTTCAACAGACCACTGGTTAATTAAATTACTAAGTATAGGTAAAGTACTTGTATTACATAAAGCCTCACCATTACTGACTCACATCACTTCCAAACTGTAGGAAAAATAAAAACGTCTTTAAGCTCTGCAATCACTTGGTAACACGTGTTCCACACAAGTCTATAAGACACGATTCGCAGTCAAACAACTGGATAACAGCTTCCTACTACTACAAGGTCACTGCACTCCTCACAGCACTCTTAAAATCACCGTGAATCGTCAGAGACTGCAAGCAGAGTCAACACTAAATCCACAGTGAGGAAGGTAACTTACTGCATTTGCCATTAGGGCAGGCAAAACATTCATATTTCCGGTAAAGAAAAAAAATAGCTAAATAAAACACTTCTCTTATTCAGTTTTGATTTTATTGTTTATAATTACCTACGGTCTAACAATATTATCTACGGCTGTTCAATGCAAAAATGCAGTATCTTAAAAAAGATTCAGTATTAAAGTAAATTTAAAATTAAACTTTATTTCCAAACTTACTATACCTTTCTTTGCTTTTATTCACAAGTTGCAGTTACTTTGAAATTTTAAAGAAGAAGAACATCAGATTTTTAGGTATCAAAAGAGGCTTAGGTTTTTAAAAAGTATGAGAAATACTATAAAGATCTTCAATTCAAGCATTATTCAAACAATCTTGAGTTTCACTGGACTTGAATGAGTGTGGTAGACATTTCTCACACATGGATAAACCCAGGGACCACAGAATGACAGCTATAGGACATCTTCCTTGTGCTTCCAAGAAAGAAAGGAAAGCAGTCTGGTGCTGCCGAATCCGAACATCTCCTAAGGACATCGGTGAGGAACGTCTACAGAACATGTCATCCTTTATGAACTTTCTCCGTGAAAACACTTCCAATCAATTCTTCCAGGTAAACATGAATGTTTAGTTGCCACCTGAAGTAAAAATCTACAAATTTTCTCATGCTAAAACCTATCACGGAATAGAGCTTGGGTTTACTTCTAGCATCAAAAAACTTCAGAAATGTAACCGAGCAAAAGTATTGACAAGATAAGCAAACCAAAACAAATAAACCAATAAACCCCACAAAACCAAACTGAAATATCTCCTGTTTTTCTCATTTATAAACATCAGATCAAACATGTCAGACAGTATCCACTGCAGCAGAAAACTCCCTGGCTGCTGTGGCCTAAGAAGCGACAGACAAAGAAGTTTCCGTCCCATAAATCAGTCACGAGTTTGACTCACCTCATCTCAGGGAGGAAGGTTTTCTTATAGCTATTCTCAATGTCCTGCAGATAGGCAGAGGTGGCCTTCATTTCATGTGGCTAAACAAAAGCAGAGACATTAAACTGGGAAACATTTAGACTTCCTTTTTTTTTTTTTTTTTTTTTTTTGAGACGGAGTTTTGCTCTTGTTACCCAGGCTGGAGTGCAATGGCGCGATCTCGGCTCACCGCAACCTCCGCCTCCTGGGTTCAGGCAATTCTCCTGCCTCAGCCTCCTGAGTAGCTGGGATTACAGGCACATGCCACCATGCCCAGCTAATTTTTTGTATTTTAGTAGAGACAGGGGTTTCACCATGTTGACCAGGATGGTCTCGATCCCTTGACCTCGTGATCCACCCGCCTCAGCCTCCCAAAGTGCTAGGATTACAGGCTTGAGCCACCGCGCCCGGCCTAGACTTCCATTTTCTTTGACCTGTGCGTATATAAAATGCGAAGACAATCACTTAGCACTATTTTCTTACAACTCACATCGGGCACTGTAGGGACAGTGGGGTGACAGAAAAGGGCCCCAAAATCAGTTAGAACCCTTCTCCTTCTACTACAGTGAACAGCAGAGCCTGCCCAAGTGCTCCCCAGAGTGACTTTCTGCACACGTTCTAAGACGCACACTTACGGCGGGAAAGAGGCCTGTTACAAAGCAGCGCTGCCTGTCCTTCCGTCTGCCTCACGCCTGAGCGCAAGAATGAAAGAGCACCAAACATGGGGGCCGCGGCCTGCCTCACCGTCTGTCCTCTGCACACCCTCTTGGCCCTCGACTCTCCCTGCATCTGCAGCGTGCTCTCCACCTCCACCCGTCTCCCTGCAACCACTTCCCCACTTTCCACAGCTCTCGCCTCCCTCATCACCTGAAATGTGCTATGCCAATTTCAGAAACTTGGCGAGTGGCAAGTTTTAAAATTTAAAACTCCTTACAGTTCAACACTATCTTCTAGGCCCCTTTTATTTTCTTCGTGTCATTTACCTCTATTTGATGTACTTCTGATTTATCTCCCTGTTTGCTATAGGTCCCCCACCGGCACATGAGCTCCTGGCGAGGCCTCATCCACCCTGCTCGCCGGTATGCCCCCAGCACCAGCAGCGTCCAGTACAGAGTGGATGCTCAGTAAACATTTGCAGGACAGACAGGAACAAATAAAGAAACAAACGGGCCTCTGTTTCAACTTACAAAACTATGAAATATTCTGAAACTGGATTATCAAAAATCATTCAGCCGTACCCTTAAAATGGCTGAATTTTACAGAGTATAAATTATACTTTACTGATGCTGTTCAAAGTAAAAAAAACCCTATCATTCAGAGAATATGTACTCAACTCGTATTAATTCCAGTAATGAGATGGGACACAGGGAAAGGATGATACAGGCAATGTGGCACTTCATCCTTCTGTCACAAAGGGGAGAGACTGCAATCGGGAGCTCTATTTTCCAGTAAGGACTTGATGTCTGCGCAGAGTCCCTCTTTGCTCACCTCCGCAGCCTCCTAGTGCCTGGCACAGGTGCCTTACATACAGGGAGTGCTCTGTCTTAGAGGAGGGAGTGAGCGAAATCAACAGAAGTATAAAAGAGGTGATATGATTCTAAATCTCTATCATTAACTATGTTCCAAGTAAGATAAGATTAAACGTTGACTGATTACAAAAGAAACTCTAGTGTAATATAAACACATAACAAGCAACATAACAACCGTCTCAGAAATCTGACCTGACCTTACTCGATGAAATGTTTAGTTATTATCACTTTGACTGTTTTCTCAGAGTCTAGAAATGGTTTGCAGACATGCCCGTCAGTTATTCCCAAAAGCTGCAATACTGAGACACAAGACTGCGTTGAAATAAAAATCAAAGTAGGACGACAACTTACGGATAATACGGTGTCTCTTTTACAAAATGGGGTAATTTTAGTTGGTGCTGCTATTTAAGACTTCACTGGGAAAAATTAAAAAGTTTAAGCTCTACTTTAGACCTCAGAATTATTTTTGAAATACTGTTTTCCCAGATAACAAAAGAATTACCTAAAGAATGTTAAATATATGATTTTTCGCAATGTCAGCATAATAAGCAAATGTGCCCAAAGTGATTCCACTGAGACATAAACATTTTTCACTTGCAGTTCCCTCCTTTTGCCACTTGATGGAAGGTTCTCGGAAGTCCAACTATACAACATACTTAAAAGCAAATGCTTAAGCAGTAAAAGGTTCAGAGCGGCAAGAGAAAGGCATATGCAGATGTCTCACTGTTTCTACTACACCAAAAGAGAGAAGGAAATTTAGTCTCATGGATCTTTCAGGAGCAGCAAAAAGTAACCAGAGCTAAGGCCAGCGCGGTGGCTCACTCCTCTAATCCCAGCAACTCTGGGAGGCTGAGGCAGGCAGATCACCTGAGGTCAGGGCTGTGTGCCAGATCAATCACAGTGCTAAGCGCTGACTAGCCACGGCGCGTAACTGTGTTCCAGGTAGGTCACAGTTCTAAGCATTGACCGCACACAGCGTGTGACTGTGTTCCAGGCTGTGACCAGCCTGACCAACATGGAGAAACCTCGTCTCTACTAAAAATACAAAATTAGCCAGGCATGGTGGTGTGTGCATGTAATCCCTGCTACTCGGGAGGCTGAGGCAGGAGAATCGCTTGAACCTGGGAGGTAAGGGTTGCGGTGAGCTGAGATCACACCATTTCACTCTAGCCTGGGCAGTAAGAGCAAAACTCTGTCTCCAAAAAAAAAAAAAAAAAAAAAAAAAAAAACAGAGCTTTACTGTTGCCCTTATAAGAAGCCACCATTCAGAAAGGTATTTACTGAGCACCTACAAGAATTCCAGCACAGGGGATGAGCACCAGAATGAGGAGCAGGCAGGCAGCCCTGCATTTTCCTCACAACGTCAGAAAGGAGATCAGATTCTCCTCCAGGAAAAAAGAACACAGTATGAAACAAGAAGGAGCCGCAGGGCAAAGACGGTCTTTGTTTCATCTCAGGATCCTCCATCAGGCTGCCAACAGAGCAACCCACGGCTGCAGGTCACTTCAAAAGGCCTTGTTTCAAGGCCACCTAATTAAGATCTAACGAAAACTACAAATGTATGTGGATGAATGTGATCACTACTCTACTGCTCTGATGATGAAGGTTATTAGAAATCACTTTCAATGTGTAAAAAAATGGTAAGACACAAAAACCTCATGGAACAGAAAGGTACATGACAAAGGGAGGGAGGACGCCCTGCCGGGAGCCCCCACAGCCTCCCAAGAACAGCAGCGGGGACTCAGAGACGGTACTGGGGCTGCACAGCACTGGTGGGCAGCACATCCGCAGGTGGTGGCACCAGGCCGAGCCCTGGGGTCTCCCCTCCACCCCTGCAGACGCCCTCTGTCAGGTCGCATGTCACCCCTCCTAGTGAGGACTGGTAGGAATTGGTATGCTATTAAAACAGGACTTTTAGTGCTGATCTACATTAAAAACAGAGAGGCTTGGCCTTTGATTGAAAAACGGCATTACATCTCCCTTCTGCTGAATCCGACGCTGGATCTCTGGAACTGGCACATCCAGGTAGATCACCAGGTGGGGAGGCAGGTATTCGCAGATGGTGACATTCTTCACCTCGTTGTAGTGCTCCACACCTGGCACACACAGGAGAAAGGGGCAATGTCACCTAACAGTCCCCATGCAGGCTTCTAAAACATGCTCCTCCTTGAATAAAAGGGCAAAGACATATGCAATTCTCAGAGGCACATGCAATTGCCACGTACCAATCTATAAATCATATCGCGGTCACAGTTCTAAGCACTGACCACACATGGCATGTGACTGTGGTCCAGGTGGGTCACAGTTCTAAGCACTAACTTTTGCTTCTGAGGCAAGGTATAGGTAATACAAGATGAAAGTCACAAGTCAGTGATCTTTGAACTGAAATATATTCCATATACCTGCAGTACAGTATGTATATTTCTTCATAGTAATAACAGATAAAAGAGTCTGATCTTCTCTAGAGAAAAATACTTTAGTTTTCAAATAACTAAAAATCGTCAAGCTACATTTATCCAGGTTCAGTAAGTATAATCAGCTACATAGAAGTATGTACTGAGACAGATTTAGTGACAACATGAAATTGAAAGCAGCTAAGGCTGAGGAATAATTCTCCTGAAGTGACCACCACACAGAATGCATAACGCAGACGCCAGTGCTGCCTAAGGGAACCCTGCTGCTCTGCAGAGCACTCTACACCTGCACCTGCTCGCACACACCTGACCTCCTGGAAGTCAGCAGGGAGCGCACGCCAGTGCGAGTGGAGGGGTCTGTTGAGAAGCCATCCCCTCTGCAGCATTTCACTTGGTGGAACCTTCCAGAACTGACCAGCAGGCAGCCATGCTAGGGTCCACAGAAAGACAACTATTTTGCTTTAAAGGAAATGGGCTGGGAACAGTGGCTCACACCTGTCATCCCAGCACTTTGGGAGGCCGAGGTGCGCACAGATTGTTGGAGTCCAGGCGTTCAGGACCAGCCTGGACAGCTTTGGTGAAATCCTGTCTCTACCAAAAATACAAATATTAGCCAGTCTCATACCCAGTCTCAAAATAAACAAACAAACGAATGAATAAAAATTTTTAAAATTAAATTAAAATTAAATTTTTAAAAAAAGTGCTGTGAGTATTCCTAGTAATCTTACTCTAGAGGCAATGGTGAGATGGGCCTTTGGCTCAGGGTCAGGGACGACATGCCTAGAAGAACAAGACTGCCAGGAGGAGGTGTGACAAAGCGAACGGCCGAGGCTGCCAGTGGGTGCTGTCCACCTGGGCATACAAACACAAACCTACGTCCAGGCAGATGGCCTCGGGTCTGCTTCCTGACAGCTGGACCGCCAGCACGCCGGTCTCTTCCCAGGCTGAGGTGAAACCTCCCTTCACCAAGTCTCACCCTGACTCCTGCCCTCACCCCTACTCCTGCTGGCACACCACTTCGCAGATGGTTCCTGCCATGCTCAGTGCCACCTGTCCTTTAGCCAACATGATCCGCTTCCCCCAGCCCAGCACTCTGGCTAATGTCACTAGCCCCTTAAAGGTGAAATGTGGCAGTCACTTCTCCCTGGGGGTTCCATTTCTGGACCCCCCCCGCCTGAAGACAAGAATGCCCACAGTCAGGGCTGGACCCCTCAATGCCTGAAGACAAGAATACTCACAGTCAGGGCTGTACCCCCCAACGCCTGAAGACAAGAATGCCCAAGGTCAGGGCTGGAGCCCCCATGCCTGAAGACAAGAATGCCCACAGTCAGGGCTGGACTCCCCCGCCCAATGTCTGAAGACAAGAATGCCCACAGTCAGGGCTGGACCCCCCACCCAATGCCTGAAGACAAGAATACCCATGGTCAGGGCTGGACCCCCCCATGCCTGCAAACCACCTGCAACCCCAGCCAGTCCTCAGACTTCAACAGACATCCAGCAGATGCCAACAGGTGTCTCCTGTCCCGTGTCATGGGAACGTCACACTCAGGAATCCAACGCCCACACATGAAGCTGCCTCAGTTCACTGCCCTGTGCGTCCTTCTCCCTTACCAGCCCACCAGCCAGGGCAGGTCCACGCCACTCCCCACTGTGCACACAGGAGGCCACCCACCCACCCGGAGCCCCTCCTGAGCAGTAACTCCCACTGTGCAGCCTCCCTGTTGGACGCACCTGTCCCACCGCAACTTCCTCCCAGATAGGCTCCTTCCCTTTCTGTCTCTCCTCACCAGATGCATCCTTCAGATGGAGGCCTGAAACCATTTTAAACTCATCTAACCCTGTCCCTGCCATGCTAAAAATCCTCCAGCGATCACTCGCTAGTTTCAAGACAAAAGCCAGGCGCCCTCGCCAAGGCGCAGCCCCTTCCTCGTGCGGCCTCTTCCGGCAGCATCTCCCCCAGCACGAGCCCTCCCCGCAGGACACGCTCAGGCTCCTCCACCATCCCCACACGTCCCTGACTCCCAATGCGCTCCGGGTGACTCACCAGAAGGCCACTCGTCAAAACGGCTACCCCTGACACATCCCTCCCATCTCCCAGCCGGCCAACACTTCTCCTATGTGCCCCACAGAATCCAGGAGTAATGCGCAGGGCTACTAAGTACACTTTCTTGCGATTAACCATCTCCACTGGTTTAACAGCCCCCAACCCTGGGCCTGTGGGAGCCCCGTCTTAAGTTTCTTCATATGCATATCCCTAGTACCTAAGAGAGCCTGGGACACTTCAGGCACTCCAGAAACACTGGCTGGTGACCTGACCTGCTGCCCAGCATGTCCAGGGAGGATCAGGCCCCATGAGAAGCAAGGGCTGGCACTGCTCTTGTGGGCCACAAGCTCACAGGTGGAGTACCCTCCGCAGAACCGTCGCTTGGCTTGCTTCGGCCTCCCCTTTCAGGAACCAAGAGCACTGACTCTGGGCTCCCAGATTCCAGCTGCCCACCGGCTCCAGTCACCCCAGTCTATAGATGAAATGCCATCAGTCAGACTGTCCGCCAGGCCTACTGGAGGCACCGCCCAGCACAGTCCTAGTCACGCATCTCAACCCCACCCTGGCTCCTCAAGGTCAGCCTGCTTCAAACCCGGGGGTTCTTCGTTCCTTTCCATCTGCCACCTGTCAGACCTTCCCCAGTATGGCAACACAAACCCACTGTCCTGAAAAACGGCAACGTGTCAGAGGGAAGGACGTCACGACGTAGAAACTGGAGCACTGGTTACAATTACAGCACAGGTCCAGGAAGAACAGCAGAGGTGTCACTAGGGCAGCTGAGAGTGGGGGCGGCGGCTCTTGTAGGGGGAGACTGCGGGGGATGCATTTTAAGCCGTGTGTGTTTGAGGTCCGGGGCTCCGATCTGCTTTCACAGGGCGACATGATATCGCAGGAGGGAGGAAGGGTGGCAGACACCTCAGGAAGTCCCTTTCTCCAGTGCAGACTGATGAAGTAGTGGCATCTACTGCACAGACACTCATAAACACAGTAAGTGCAAGGTGAGTCTGTCACAGCCTTTGCAAAGTCACACCACACACCCACGTGCCTGTCAGCAACCCCGACTCACACTGCTTTCGGATGTAGCCCTGGTTGTACATGGCGTCCAGGAACACAAAGTCACTGAAGATGGAGCGCTCCAACACAACACCTTGTCCTGTTTAAAAGCAGGTGAACAGAAATTGAAAATCAGACAGCACTGCACTGGAGGCTAATCCCTGAATGGCAGAAAAAAAAGAAAATAATGGTCTTTCACAATTTCATTTCCACATCAAATGTACAGAGAACAAATTCATATTCACAAGTGGGAAATCATTTTCAAAATCTAAAATATCTTTTCAGTTTTGAGTGTAATATTTCAGTGTAACATTGTTTCATTCCGTCAGCTATAACCAAAGCATCCAGTTAGCATAAAAAGTGCTTTGTTTTTAAATAATGTATTCCACCCCTACCGAGCCCACCCCATCCTCCTCCTACTGCTCCCACTCCAGCCAGCTCTCCTGAGCTGGGCCGCTTCTCACTCCCACCTACCCCAGCCTCACTCCCACCCACCCCCAGCCTCACCCCCTGTGCCACTGTCACAGCAGCCCCGAAGAACACTCAGCACACGGCACTAGCCCCCGGGTCCCCGGCCAGCCTCCCTGCAGTCAGCTCTGCTAGGCAGAGGCCTCCCTCATCGTCCTACCCAGCCTCTCCCCGTGGCCTCAACCTCAGAGCACCTGCCACATAAGTGGGACAAGACACTCTTGTGTCCACATCAAGTGTTCATCCCCTTCTAAACACAACCTTTGCCCCTACCGAACACAAGCTTCGCCCCTACTGAACCAAGCTTCGCCCCTACTGAACGCAACCTTCGCCCCTACCGAACACAAGCTTCGCCCCTACCGAACACAAGCTTCGCCCCTACAGAACACAAGCTTCGCCCCTACTAAAACACAACCTTCACCCCTACCGAACACAAGCTTCACCCCTACTAAAACACAACCTTCACCCCTACTGAACACAAGCTTCGCCCCTACCGAAGACAAGCTTCACCCCTACCAAACACAAGATTCACCCCTATCGAACACAAGCTTCACCCCTACTAAAACACGCTTCACCCCTACTAAAACATAAGCTTCACCCTCTACTAAAACACAACCTTCACCCCTAATAGACACAAGCTTCACCCCTAATAAACACAAGCTTCACCCCTACTAAAACATGCTTCACCCCTACCGAACACAAGCTTCACCCCTAATAAACACAAGCTTCTCTCCCTGTGGCACCCTTAGCTCCTAGAATGGGTCTGGCACACAGCAGGCATGCACTAAGTATTTAATGAATACACTGACCCAGTTCCAATTTGCCCCAAGAATGCTGTGCTGGCAGCAAACTGCACTTTTTTTTTCTAAACAGGAAACAGGTTAACATAGCACAAAAGCAAGCAAGTTTTTATTTAACAAGTAAAATGTGTCTTTTTCATTTTAAGAAATGAGTAGTCAGAAGTCAGGGTTGAAGAATGCTTCAAAAAAGAATGTGGAGTGAGGCCAAATGTGAGTATGAAGTCCTGGCTACTCCATCAGCTCCTGGACTAGCTCCTGGTAAAGAACCTTAGATGAGAGACAGCAGACTGCGCTGTTTTCTTAGGAGTAACACTAAGATCAGGGCTTACATTCATGTAAGAAAAAAAGAATCAGTAATAAAATGCTGAAAAAGCAAGACAAGAATTCCACCCCGGACACTGTGTGGATGCATGTCTCAGACACACACTGCACCCATGGAGACCCGCAGGGGCACAGGCAGGGGCTCCTGAGCACAGCTCCGTGAAGCGGCCTGTCAGCCGGCCACTCCTGCTGAAAAGCACATTCTTGTTCTCACAGCTCAGACCCCGTGAAAGCCAACCCTAGTGGTGTCTGAGCTGGGGTGAGCAGCTCATCAGGGTCACTACTGATCCACCAGTGTGGCAAGCACTGCAATATAAAACAGACGCGAAGGCCCCAAGAACGCACTCATCTGCCTCTCTCCACACACATACGTACCATTTGCTGCTATCTGTGAATTCAGGACCACCGAGCCATGGTGGCTTTGGCCAAAAATCAGCAGTGCATCTGTGGTCCAACTGTCAGGATGTCTAGCACGCACGCACTGCTGTTTCCCAGGATGAGAACAGTGGCCCCTGGCCAGATCCTGACCTCATTCTGCACACAAGTAGTACCGTTCCTGCCCTTTCATCCAGCTTCCCTCCTCCTCCTAACTCTACTTTCTGATCCCAGGCTCCCTAATACAAAGCTCTTGTCCGTTTCTTCCCCGCTCTGGATAACGTCCAGGGAAGCACCCTCCCCTCCTGCATGGGCCTAGGGGACCCTGTGTGTTCCGGCGCCTCTGTCATCTTATCAGGCTGACATCTACCTTGTGGCTCTGCGGTGACCCCAGCCTGTCTCTGGCCCTCCAGGACAGCGCTGCTCTGTTGTCACCCACACCTCTGTCTGTGTGGCACACGAGCTGTCTTCCTAAGTGTCACCCCGCTTCCTCCTGGACACTTCCATGCTCTCTTTCCTCTTTTGTTCTGACACATTTCATGCATAAATATGTAAGTACTGAAGCTTAAATTAGTGCCTTGAGAATTCTACATAATCCATAAATCTCACTCCAGCATCCACAGTGAAACAGCATTAAGTTGATTTTATTCTGAAGAAAAATAACGCGATCTCAGGAAATTTACGATCCTGTTGGAAAGACAAACCTTACCAAACACCCTTAAAGAAAAGGTCAACTTAGTAGCCATTTTAAACGGCTGAAGTGTAGAACAGCACTCAAGTACGGAGCCGGTCTGACCGCAGAGACCCCGCACCTGTGCTCAGCAGGTGCTCCAAGGCGTCCGAGTACTGCAGCAGGCGATTGCAGTACAGCCAGGACTGCAGGCGGTAGCTGTTGCCGTCATTGCTTCGCGGATCATCATAGAATTTCTCCAAAGTGCAGTTGCCACCATAGGCTATGTCGAGGGGCTTCCCATCTCCTCTGGTGAGTTCTGCATAGTGTATACATGCTTCGGGAAAGTGCTTTAAGCCTGAAAAGAGGAACGATAGGATGCAGCCTGATGCGCAGGCTCCCTCCCTGCAGGGAGCAGCATGGACCAGCCAAACACACAGCCCGCCCAAGCAGCACCACCAGGGGTGGCTCCAAAGACCTGGAGGATGTCACCTTCACATCTGGGTCTCATCACATATGAAGGGAACACACAACACATACGAGCATGCGTGTGAGCAAAAGAGCTGTGTGGTGACCTTGTACAGGCTCCTCCTGAAAGGACAGCACCTGTAACCACAGGAGCCCCCTCTAGCGGGCAACTGCCGTCATGCAGGTGCTACCGAAAGGTATAAGGGACACACATCTGTACCAGGAGGCGGGAAGGGGCTCTAACTTTGGCTTTGTGACCAGCTGTGTGGCACTGCTCAGTCAGGAGCACACCCATCTGTGAGTGAGTACCATCCTCAGCTCTGTCTCAGAGGCTGTCACAAAGTTCAAACATGACAGCTGGCGTGGAAGTGTCCTGCTTACACTGTCCACATAAAATTCCAACTCAAATTGACAACCAGCATGGATTTTTTAAATTTTCCAAATACAAAAGATTAAAAACAGCTTTTTCCTGTTTTGTTTTAAAAAACAGCTTCTTCAGTAAACAAAAATGTAAAATACCCACCTAAGGCCCAATTATTAAATGTTTAATATTATTTTAATATGGATCAATACTGAAGAAAAACCAGTGAGATAAGCAACCATATAGCTCAGAAAAAAGTATCACTCTGTACAACATCAATTCGTACCTAGTTGCTCTGCTATTTGTTTTGCAACTCTGCCTTTCCCAGAGCATATGTTGCCATCCACAGTTATCACTATGCTGCGTTCTGTCATTCTTTTGCTGGCTCTGTCCCAAAGTAGGTAGTTCCACATTCCGTATCGCAGCTCACGCCGCGCACTGGTGTGAATTCCTTCCTGAAAAACACAAAGTCACACAGCAGCACACTGTGACCACTTCCAGTCCTGCAGGCATTATCAGGTAAAAATACCAAGAAACCTCTTGGTGATAAAAACGCCAACATCTATGTCTTAATTGCCTGTTAACTGCCTAACAGATATACTGTCTGTTTGTTCACTGCTAAATCCTCAGGGTCTGGAACGGTGCCTAAAATTTTTATTAAATATGTTTACTATGTTCAATAAAAATTGGATGGATCGATGGATGGACGAGCAGACAGAAGGAAGGAGGCAAGAAAGACAGGGATGGAGGGGAGCTTGGGAGTGATAGAGAGAAAGGGAATAAAAAACATTTCTCTAATCCAAGCTTCTGTCCCCAGCTCCTGACCTAGTTACCCCACCACCTATTAAACAGCTCCACCTAGATGTCCTGAAGGCATCTAAAGATAACAGAGCTAAAGTGAAATGCACATCCATGCGCTAGCCCCCATATCTGCTTTCCCTCACAGCAGGCAATATCCACTCCCTAACAAGCAAAAGACAGAAAATTTGAGTGCCATCTTTGGTACCGTTCTCCCTCCTTCAACTGCAGAATTAAATACAAAATCCTAACTCTTCAAACTCTTTGGACACCGCATCACCTCCCTACGCCATGCACTGACTGTAGACATCCTCACACCTCTCATCTGCAAGGCAAAGCCTGCTTCAACTCCTGTCTCCAACATCCCAGTTCATTCTCCGTGCTAAAGCCAAAACAATCCTTCCAAAAAAAGAAAAGAAACATAACCAAAAGTAAAGCAAACTGAAAAAGTTCAACACATATGATGGATAATAACCTTACTGTATACAGAGATTGTACAGAACAGTAAGACAAAGAATAAAAACGCATATCTTATTTTAAAATTATAAAATACAACCAAAAAACTCACGAAAAAGTGGCCAACCTTGCTACAAAAAAACAAGGCTTTAATGAGGAGAACATGCCTTTCCATGTATCAAGTGGGAAATACATCTAAAAACGACGCACAGCGTCAGGACCAGACAGCGGCACCATCATGAACTGCTAATGGTGATTCAACCTGGAGGACCCCGGGCCCGCAGCACCAGGAACCGACCCAAAGGGTGCATACACCGATCCGCGCAAAGACGGACCTCTAAGAATGCTCAATGAAGTATGACACATAATACCAAAAACGCAAACAGAAACCCTTAACTGTGCAACGGTATATCCACAGTACGAAATACTAAGTACTCAGAATACAAAAGTATTAAAATACTTTACTGTGAAATTTAAATAGAACAGGAGAACATAAAATAATACCAAGATTTTTTTTCGATCTTGATTTACTTGATAACTGAAAAGTAAGGAAGAAACAAGTTATGAAACATAATGCAAAGCGAACAACCCAATTTTAAAATGGGCAAAAGATGTGAACACCTCTCACAAATGAAGACAACGCAGAGAGCAAATAAGCAAAAGAAAAGATGGCGAACACTGTTGGTCATGAAAGATTCAAAAGTTAAAACAAAATACTACTATGCATCGATTAGAACGGACAGCAGTTCAAAGTAACCGACAGCCCCGCAGGCCGGTGAGGACGCAGAGCAGCAGGAGAGCGTCCACTGCTGGCGGGAGTTTAACGGCAAGGTCACTCAGAAAGACGGCCTGGCTGCTTCTTAGAAAACGTCTGACTACAGGGTCCAGTGATCACTCTTCCAGGTATTACCCAGCTGATGTAAAAATGTATTTCCACAAAGAAATCTGCACGTACATGATTACAGCAGCTTTATTCATAATTGCCAAAAACCTGAAGCATCCAAGATGCCCTTCAGTCGCCGAATGCATTCACTGAAGTACATCCGTACCATCAAATAGTATTCAGTGATTAAAAAGAAATCAGTTCTCAAGCCACGAAGACGTAAGTGAATCTTACATCGATATTTCTAAGTATTCCAGGAGTCTGAAAAGGCAACATAATGTTATTGTTCGAATTATATGATATTCCAGAAAAGGCAAAACCATGGAAATGGTGAAGAGATGTGTGGATGTCAGCGGGTTGGGGCAAAGAAGGGCTTAATAGGGACAGGGGATCTTTTCTTTCAGGCGGCGAAGCTACTCTGTGTGACCCTACAATGGTGGAGGCAAGTCGTTCACACACTTGTCGAAACCCACGGAGCCTTACAGCACAAGGAAGGCCCTCCCTGTCCGCACATTTTCAAAGACTCATTCGGCAGAAGCATCCCAGGACGTGAGGCAGAACGTGACAAGGCAGCCCAGTCGCGTCACGCGTGTCCCAAACCACCGCGCGGAGGAAGGCGGGGGCGCGGCGCCGGGCGGGGCGAGCGGCCGCGGCACCGGCCTCCCTTCTGCTCGGCGCCGCATCGCCCCGGCTCCCGGCAGGGCGCGGCCTCAGAGACGGAGCCGCTCCGCGAATGGCGGAGCCCCCGGCGCGCGCGCCCCCGGCCGGCCACCTGCCCTGCGGCCTCCGCGCTCCGGCGTTCTGCTTCGAGCTGAGATAAACCGGCCCGCAGAAGCCCGCGGCCCCCGCAGTCTGTCCACGACCGAAGACCCAGCAACTCCGGAGGCAGCGGGGGCTCCCCCAACCCACCCCGAGAGCGACCCCGGGCGCCGCCGCCAGAGGCCGCGGGAGATGCGGAAGGGCCGCCCGCCGCCCACTCACCGCGCGCTGCACGCTCGCCGCCAGGACCCGCGCGGCCGCCGACTTCGGGGCCAGTCTCAGCAGCCGGGAGGCCATGGCTACCCCGTCAGCTCGGGCTCAAGGACCCAAGGGGACGCGGTCGCCGCGGGGCCCTCTCCTGCGGCCGGCGCGCCGCTGTGACGTCACGGCCGGGGTGCCCGCGGCGCCTGTCGGGAACGTTCCAGCGGCGCGTGGGGGCGGGGCCGCGCCGAGACCCTCGGGGGCTTCCGCGGACACCGCGGGCGCGCGGCCCTGCGGGCGGGGCTGAGGGGCGAGGGGCGGGGGGCGGCGGCCGCAGGGGAGCGGGGCCAGCAGGCCGGCCGCCCGGGTTCCGACTTGCTGCGATGGCCGGGCCGCTGAGGCCGCCCGGGCGTGGAGCGACTTCTGCGCCCAGTCCCGGGTCCACGCCGCCTCCTGGAGCACGTCCCGGGGGGCAGGGCGGGGGGCAGCGGCGGGGGGCAGGGCGGGGGCGCGGGGCGGGACCCCTGCCTCGGGGCGCCGCTCGGGCAGCGCGCACGCCCGGCCGGGACGGCCTGCGGAGGGCCACGTGGTCCCGCCCCGGGGACCTGCTGGGAACACTTGGAATCGAATAGAAAGAGACAGGAGCGCGCGCCCCAGTCCGCGTCTCGGCGCTGCTCCCGGCGGGGTCCGGGGCCCTGCGCCCCACGGAGGAACCTCGCCTGGGAGGTTTCCTTCCAGGTAGGCCTGCTGCTGGGAGGGTCGTTATCCTCTGTGTGCCTCGAGCTTTTTGTCCTTAACCCCTTAGGTAGTCTTAAACTTCTGTTGTCAGCTTTTCAGAAATTATCACGCAATTGTAAAACAGCGGGAATGCGGTTGTATAAACTACGTCTCTGTGGATGTTTCTATAATTGAAGAATTGCTTTTTGTCAAAAATACGGAGTTCCGGTCCCCAACGCGGGAGGGCCTCATTTTTAGATCGTGGAGAGACCCTGAAATCTATTTCACAAGCTTTCAGCCAACTCTGATGCAGAGAGAAACGCCGTTCTGGACTGCGTTTAGCAGGAGCAGGGACCACGCGCACGCCCTTCACCGGCCCCGGGCCCACGCAGAGCTGCACGAAGAGAGTTGTATGAACACACATACAACTGGAGGGTGTAACCAGATAGCCCGAAATCCTCCGGCCCCACTGAGTCACAGCTTATCTTCAAACGGCAGGACTCAAGGCCTACCTCCACATCTCTGTATCTCTAGGAAGTCCAGCATATTTTTTCAGTGTTTCTGACAATTCTGGGAAATGAACGGGGGATGGGAGGGCGTCTTCAGATTTTCTCATCTCGATCATTATCCATCCTAGCCACATCTGGCCTCCGATGGTCCAGTTGTCTTTCCCAGCTTTACCCCAGGTGAAGACACAACTTTATCTTATTTTCTAAGGCAAGGTTCTAGTGTTTCCATTTTTACTGATGGCATGGGAAAAGGAGAACGATCACCAAAGGAAACAGAATATACAATTAAATAATTACCGGACATCACTGTCCTAAAGTTTCTCAAACATTTCCACCAAATGGAATTATTTGTTATCTACCATTACATTTTGGAAACTGGCTCCCTGTGTCGGCCACTTCTCACACTGCCTCCTCTCCTCTCTGGACATGCTCGTCTGGAACTGGATTCAAAGGCCTCAGGACTGAGGACACAAAACCCGGGAGGCGGGGCTCCTGGTTGATGGTGACTGGCTCAGCTGGTGGTGTTGGAGGGCTTGACAGTGAGCCCCCCTGTGCAGCAAATCTTACACTCAGCAAAACCATTCTTTGGTGGTAGTGGGGATGAGGGGAAGGAAGGCATTCTCAGGTGATGAAAAATCTAAGATACTTTGTCTCCAGCAGACTCTTCCCCTCTTTAAAGTTTGACTGAAGGAAGCTTCTCAAACATTAAGAAAATAACACAAGAAGGCTAGGGCCTTCAGAACAACAGAATAGGTCAAATAGGGGAGAATGTAATAAATCATCCCTCACCTACTGAGTTTTTAAAATTATATTTGGTGGTTAAAACAAATATTGTAACGTTGTTAATGTAGTGCTCACTGTAGATATAGGAAATATAACAATCACTGTATAGAAAATGGGGAGGGTAAACTCATCTAAATGACAGAAATCTGTGATACTTCCCTGAAGCAGTAAAACATCCACCTAAATAGGTTGTGAGAAGTTACATCTGCATGCTGTGATACCTAAAGCAACCACTACGAAAACTGTGTATAATGATCTTTCCTGACATTATCAGCAAATCAAGATGGAATTCAAAAAAAAATGTACTTTGTCCATTGGAAGGTAAAAAAAAAAGGCAGAGAAAACAAGACAAAAATCAGCAGACGTGATCCCTAATCTGTTAACTGCTTGATAACCTGAACAGTCCCATACCCATTAAAGAAGTTCAGTCTGTAATTTTAACACACTCACACCCGCCAAAGAGGATTCCCAGTTCCAGATAATCTCACTAGAAAATTTAAACAAATGTTTTAACAACTTTATACAATCCTGTCTAGAAAATAGAAGAGGCGTGAATGCTTTTCAACTTGTTTTATGATACCAAAACCATACAAAGACAGTATAAAAATAACTTTAAAATCTTATCGACCAATATTTCTCATGAACTTAGATACAAAAATCGTTAACAAGTTAGCAAATTGAATACAACACCATATAAAATGAGTAATACACCACAACCCAATGTGGTGTATTCAAAAGATGCAAGACTAATCTGGAATTTGAAATCAGCCAATGTAATTCACCCTATCAGCAGGAGAAAGAAGAAAAATCTCTGGCCAGAATGCCTGATGCAGTTTTCTGCATCACGTGACAAAATTAAATATTCCTTTACGATAGAAACAAAAACTGCTCTCGGCAAATAAGGAATAAAGGAGAGCTGCTTCAACTTGATAAAGCACATACACAGAAACTGCATCATTGTGCTTAATCCTGAAGGACTGAACGCTTGCCTTCTAAGTAGGAAACAAGGCAGGGAAATCTGCCCTGCCCACTCTTGTTCAACAGAGCACTGAAAGTTCTAGAAATAACTCATGCAGTAAGGCAAAAAATAAAAAATAAAATTCATACAGATCAGAAAGAAATACAACTGTCTCTTTTTAGTTGATCTGACTGTTCACATGGAAAATCCAAAGGAATCTACAAAAAATTCCAAGACCTAATGAGTGAGTGTAGCAAGTTTGCAGGATACAGTGTCAACATACGAAAATCAACTGCGTCCGGTATACTAACAACAAACAGGTGGAAACTGAAATAAGAGATGGAATATCATTTACAATTTCTTCAAAGAAAATATATATTTCTTCAAAGAAAATATAATACTTAGGTCTAAATCCATGCAGAATCTGTACACTAAAAAGTACAAAACACTGATGAAAAAAATTAACAAGACCTTAATAATTGGAGAGGCTTAACTATGTTCATGGATTAAAAGACTCAACAGAGTAATAAAGTCACTTCTTCCCAAATTGATTTTTAGGTTTAATGGAATTTCTAGCAAAGTCTCAGCAAGGTTTTCCTGGAGACATAGACAGGCTTATTATAAAATTTATATAAAAATGTTAAGGCCCTGAAATAGCCACAATAATTTTGAAACAGAATGAAGTGCGAGGAGTCACTCTTCCAGTGTTAAGAATTACTACATAATGATATTAATCAAGACTGTGTGGTATGGATAAGGGTATGATATTGATAGATACATAGACCAGTTTAACAGAACAGAGGATCCAGAAATAAGCCAACACATATTCTCGATTGACAGAGTAGTGTACCACATAACAACGTTTGCTCAATGATGAACTGAACAGCATATAAGATGGTGGTCCCATAAGATTATAATACTACGTTTTTACTTACCTCTTCTATGTTTAGATACGTAAATTGTGGTTGAGCACAATGGCTCGCCCCTGCTGGGAGAGGCAAGACAGGGTTTCTTCCAACATAATGTGTTACGTGTATGTAATACAGTATATGCATTATCTCAGTATATGTATTATCCCAGTCTAAATGTATTAGGCATGTATTATGCAGTATTAATGCATTATGTATTATGAATATTGGACAGCAATGAGAATGCATGAATTATTGTTACCTGCGAAAACATCAGAGATTCACCAAGCAGCGGGGAATGAAAGAAGCTGAAATAACAGGGCACAAACTTTATGATTACATGTATAAACCCCTCAGAAACACCAAAGCTAGCATCTGGTTTTGAAAGTCAGGATAGTGGTTCTTGTGGAGCGGGGATAATGACTGGGAGAGGGCATGAAGGCAGCTTCTAGTTCTTGATCTGGGAGCTGGTTCTGTGAGTATGGCCCTTTTGTGACAACACATGCAGGTGAAGTCTTCTTTCTTGTGCACAGTTCTGTAGGTTTGCTTACTTTCACATAGTCCTGTAGATTTGTTCAATTTCAGTTAAAAATCAGTTTAAAGAGCCATATGCGATGTTGTTTCATCACTGCAGGTTTTGCTCCAGGACACTTAGTTGTCTTACTGTGAAGTTTGACCCAAGGCCTTTTTCAAGGCGTCCTTAAATTCCTTGTTCCTCAGACAGTAGATCAAAGGGTTAATTATTGGCGTGACGATAGTGTACACAGCAGAGATGAGCTTGTTGGAGCTCTGGGAATCAATGGCCTGGGGCTGGACATACATGAAAATCATAGCCACGTATAAGACAGTGACCACGGCAAGGTGAGAAGCACAGGTGGGGGAGGCTCTCCAGTGGCCGGTGGCCGAGGGTATGCGCAGGACGGCCAGGGTGATGTGCCCATATGACAGCACAGTGGCCAGGAGGGGAAACACCAGCTCTGCAGTGGAGAAGTCCATGCGGGCCAGCTTGAGGATGAGGGAGATGTCACAGAAGAAGTGGTTCAAGACGTTGGAGCCACAGAACGTGGCGCTGGAGATAAAATCCACCTTGATCGTGGAGACAGTGAAGCCGCTCACAAAGGAGAAGCCCACCAGCTGGAGGCACAGCCCCAGGGTCACCAGGATGTGGTAGTGCAGCGGGTGGCAGATGACCACGTAGCGGTCGTAGGCCGTGGAGGCCAGGAGCACGCACTCGGTGCACACCAGGGAGCAGAAGAAGTAGAGCTGCGTCATGCACCCGACGAAAGAGATGCGTTTCCGCCGGAGCAGGAAGCCCTCCAGCATCTTGGGGATGATGTCAGACACGTACCAGAGCTCCAGCAAAGACATGGAGCTCAGAAAGTAGTACATGGGCCTGTGCAGGGAGGCACTGCCCCAGCCGGCGAGGATGGTGGCCAGGTTCTCCACCAGGACAGAGGTAGGTGAGGAGGAAGAGCAGGTACTGCAGCCCCGGGGCCACAGGGAAGCCCACCAGGATGAAGGTGCTGACCTTGGTGACATTCTCCCCCATCATGTCTCTGTGTTTGCGAGCTGTGGGCCTACAAAACATCAAAGGGCAAGAGGGAAGGGCTGCAGGGTGGCTGGGGTGGGGAGGGTGGAGCCGGGCCTGGATGGGGAGTTTTGGTGCAAAGACAGGCCACGTGGCTCCTGAGAGCACCGGAGGGGTGGGGAGGTGGGGGGGGCAAAAGCACCCCTGATCTGTGTCAAGGATTAACATTGCTGATGTAGATTCTAGGTCTCAGAGGCTCTCACACTGCGTCTGGAATACGCCCCCACGCCTGCCTCCACAAGTCTCCCTCATCCATCCTGAAACTGTGTCCACTTTTCACCAAGGGACCTAGTAAGAATGAAGGGCCCACAGGGTGTCCAGCTGTCCTGCAGGTGAGGAGCCCAGACCGCTTCTGGGTGGATTGTTTGAGTCCGACACGTTCTTTCTAAACTGGTAGAGATTTGACTTGCCACCTGTTTTTAGAGTTGATTTTACAAGTGGAGGTGACAGCAGCTGGGGGTGGGGCCCAGGTCCAAGTCAGCCAGACACCAGACCCAGGCACATCCACAGGGGCAGCCGGAGTCCCCCCTTCTTGGGGGTAAGTGGTCACATCTTTATTAGATCTGAGGGGAATGTCCGCAAGGGAGAGACTGCAGTGCAATTCTGGAAGAGAGAAAAACATGGCTGCAGAGAGGAGGAAGTCTAGAATGTTCTTGAGGGGCCTATAGCTGAGAGAGAAGCCATCCACCCACCCCTGAGTGTGTATTCTAACAGAAAGTACATCTGTTAATCCCCTCTACAGCCCTGGGAAAAACAAGGTTTATATCTGTCCGTCGAGATGGGAAGTCTGAGACTCATAAAGAAAGGTGCGTGGACCTACCCAGGGTCAGGGCAGTGCCAGGATGCAGACTCGAGCCTTCTAACACCAAGGCCACCGCTCTCCCCGTGCAGTTTCAGCAGAAGCAGCGACCCCATGTGGGGGAGGGCGAGAACATGGAACCATGAAGGTGCACAGATTCAGTTGTTGGTGGCCCGGTGACCTGGTGACACTACGCTAACAGGCAATGAAAACAAAAAGTCACAAAATAAATAGTATTATTCAGAAGAAAAGGCAGAGAAGACCCCTCAGAGGGAAATACAGGGCTAGAGGGCACACGCTGCTTTCCGGAGCCTGAAGCAAACATTTAGATTATTAAGCAAAAGACTTGGAAGCAACCTATATTTTTCATCAGTAAGAGATGCATTAAGTCATGTCACATCTGCGTGATGAACACTGAGGTCACTGAAAGGAAGGGGCAGGTCCATCTGTAGACATGGAATGGTTTCCAAGGTCCGTAGCTACAGTGTTAAATGTTCAAAACAGCTCGGATAGTATGCCTCCGTTCATTCCATTAAAAGTATGTGAATAGGGCAGATGACCTGTGATGGTCACACAAGGTGCTGGGGACACTCACTGTCCCTGAGGGGGAGAGCAGGTCACTAAAACACAGATGGCAGGGGAATGTTTTTGTGGCAACCCTTTTTCTATCTTCCAAATTTTGTTTCACTTGAATGTATTATTTACTCAAACTAGTGATCCATTACTTATTTTTAGATTATTAAATTCTCCTTTAAAAAGAAAAAGTTATGCATTGGATTAAAAATTCAATAAGTCAGCATGTCCCCAGACCATAGTTCCGAATCCACACTGAAAAACACACATAGATTAAATGACCGAATGAGCATAAAGCGTATTGTGCAGTATGCCACGTGCCTTTCAAATGACAACAGTTTCCATGAGGATATTGCACAGAATAATGAAAACAGAGGATGGAGGTGAAACTACAGAATAATATCAACAGCCGTTTTCTTCCCCAAGTAGTTGAGAAATTGAAATACAGAAAACAGAAAATAAAGGTGAAACAGATATACTGATGGCATCTGTTAGAGCATGGATCAGTAGATAAATGATTAAGAATGTAAATGAGTAATAGGAATTTAACAGATCTTTAAAGAAAAGCGCATAGGAAGTGTGGGGAGTTGTTACAATACCTGGTTCATGTTGGTGTGCAGTACTGACTCCATAATGGTAGCACTGTGGTGCATAGGAGTCACATTCATGAGATCTAATAAAACAGCTTTCTTTTAAATACACTGATGAAACACAAAACGAGTTTAAACCACTGTAGTGTATGTCATAGAACTGCATAAAGTGCAGTCCCTGGCCCTTTGCTCACATCCTTTCTTGCACCCGGAATGTCCCTCAGCCCAGCCCCCACTCTGGCTGCTTCTGCCATGACCACCCTCTGGGCTCCCATCACCCTGCAGTCACCCGCATCTCCACACTCTCTCCTGGTTGCACTTGCTGTGCTCATGAGGGAGGAGGGATGTGGGCTGGTTACCAGTGGGCTGGATGGCCGATGGAAGCTCTCTATTTGGAAGGTGCCCGTGAAGCACCTCCTGCTGCCCACCACCTGGGCCGCATGCTTCTGAGGATGGGAGCTGTGCCCCTCTCACCACTGACCAAGGCACCAAGACCACTTCCCACCACGAAGTAGAAACTCCACAAGCCGTGGGGGAATGCATGTCGATGGGAAACTTAAGGAGTGACAAGGGTCTGCCCAAAATAACATGGTGCAGCAAAAGCTGGCCGACTGGGTGAGGGCACGCGCTTGTTTCACCACCACAACCACCTGCTCCCTCTCCTCTCTCCTCTTCGTCCTCAAATCTCAGATCTTTAAAGAAAAAAGAAATTACATATAAAATATAAAACTAGAGGGCGACCTTCATGATACAAGAAACTAGTGAAGAAAGGCAGCCCAGAGCCAAGAGTCTTTGAGGATGTCACCGCATTCCTGCCTGTGGGAGGGAAGAAAGTGCCCAGAAAGCCTCACCGGGGTGCCCAGAGAGCTCTGTGGCCCAGGGAACACAGATGGTGGGAATGTGGATCTCACAGTCCTCTGGGTCAGCAAGGAGGTGGGCTGAGGCTGGGTGTGAGTGGGCTGTGTGGCTGATGGAAGCTCTATTTGAAAGTTCTTTTGTCACTACAAATCAGCAAAATTCAAGAAGGGTGAGGCCACTGGCCTGGGAGCTTGGTGGCTGTAAACAGAGTAAGGATCTCAGCATCGCCACATACCTGGGAGACCATGACTAATTTTGGAACTTCAAGGGAAAGTAACCCTAAAGGCATTATAAAATAGAAGATCAGTAGGGTTTGCTTTAGTTTTCATCAAACACTTAAGAGTTCAGAAAACAGCAGAGAAACCTCTGGAGAGGCTGGAGGGAATGAGAGTCGAATGTCATGTCCAGACCTGAAATTATTCATGCCTGAGGGTAATAGAGAGGCAGCCTTCATGAGCGCCTGCTCTTCCTCAATATGAAACTCAAAATGTCACAGCTATTAACTTGAGAGAAAATAATAATCCCCAACCAAGACTCTCACAGCATAGAAAGACGGGTGGTGAAGAAAAACACATCAAAACAAAAAACATTCGATCCTAGCAAATGTCCAGATAGCTACAAAACAACATGCAAATGTCCCTCCCTGTGATGAGACTAGAGATAATGAAATATAGTAATTGTCTGGGGGGAAAAAAACGAGAAACTGGGTTTAAATACCGTTAAACCCAGTGACTGTATTTAAACCATTAAATACAGTTAAACCCAGTAACTATTTAAACCAGTTTCTCTTCTTTTTCCAAGCAATTACTGATTATTTAAATGTTTTTTCATGAGGAAAAACTTGGGAGAGGATAAGACAGTAATAAGAAAAATAGTGTATTTTGCCTCATGTTCAGATGAGATAATCAAAAGGCTATGTTTTATTCCTGGAGTTTATAGTTAGAGTAATATGAGTTCTTAAAAATTTTAATGGCAAATCATGGTTTTTAAAAGCCAGTAGATTCCATAAATCTTGAAAGAACACAAAATAAAGGAAATCATAAGAAAGCACCTAAAACTAACTACAACAATGACTAGAGTAGGAAAGAAATCAGCTGTGACAATAAATGTAAATAGGATAAACTCACCTGGGAAAAGGAAAAGACGCTCACATCATGGAAGAAGAATCTACTATGTTAGGTTGGTGCAAAAGGGATTGCGGTAATATTCCATCTACAAGATGCACAGCAAAAAACTTAACTCGGGTTGAAATGACAACCGTAGGTTCAGATGTAGAGTCAAACAAAAACAAAGCATCGTTGCAGAATTCACATCTGATCAAGTAAAATTTCAGACCCCCCGTTTTATGTATAAACCTTTTGGGGAATAATATATCCTCAACACAGTCAGCAAAAACCTGCCTTTAGTATCAGAAGAAATAGACAGGGGCCAGGTGTGGCAGCTCACACCTGTAATCCCAGCACTTTGGGAGGCTGAGGCAGGCATATTACCTGAGGTCAGGAGTTCGAGACCAGCCTGGCCAACATGGTGAAACTCCATCTCTACTAAAAATGCAAAGCTTAGCCAGGCATCATGGCAGGCACTCCAGAGGCTAAGGCATGAGAATCACTTGAGCCTGGGACGGGGAGGTTGCAGTGGGCAGAGGTGGCACCACTGCACTCCAGCCTGGGTGACAAAGCAAGACTCTGTCTCAAAAAGAAACAAGAAGAAGAAATAGATAGAAACCATGTAGCAGCAGCAGACTGTAATACATGCCTCTCACTACTTGACAGGTCTCAAAGGTAAAAACAAGTTAAGAATGCTGAGTATTAGAATAGTATAATTTTTGAAATGTTGATTTCAGGGATAGTAAACTCATGAGCCTGAGAAAATATACACCTTTGCTTAGAAAATATGGAGAAATCATCTGCAATAGCATCAAAAAATGTTCCTTCTATCTCCAAAGTAGAATCACAAATAACACATTTCCGTAAAAACAATGGCACAAAAATCATTTTTTATGAATTAGAAAAAAATAATAGAATTGATCAATAGCAGCAAAAACTTGTTCTGAAGTAGACTTAGCATGGAGGACGGTAAAACAGATGAAACTCTAGCGATTTTGATTAACAGGAAAATAGGAACATGCAATGCAATTTTGGAGACTGAAAAAA